CTATACCATTTCAGACAAATAGCTGTCCAGACTCCTTTTAAAAACTTCCAGTGTTGGAGCATTCACCGCTTCTGGAGGCAGGTGGTTCCACTGGTTCTAATTCTCAGGAAATTTCTCCTTTATCTTTATCTTTCCTTTCCTGCTATGATGAGAATTGGAGAAAACACCCTATCCTTTCCCCTAAAATCCATCGTTTTATAATCCTCTATATGTCAATGTTTTCCAACGTCAGCAACTTTGAGGTGTGTGGACCTAGCTCCCAAAACTCCCCATGGCATTCTTTAAGAAGAACTGACTTCAACTTCCAGAATTTCCCAGGTAGCATGCTGGGAACTGAAATCCACAGGGACTGAGGTTGAGAAACACTGCTCTAAGTTATGTAATATTTATTTTATTTTTTTACAGCTGTTTTATTATATTATAAGATATAAGAAATAGCATACTATTTAGATAAAGTTATGTTTGTACTGCGTTCTCTAACAATTATTAACACACTGATATTTAGATAGCTTAAACCTTTTAAAGAAAGAGAAAAAGAGGCTAAATATTAGTCCTTACTTAACGACTGCTCACTTATTAACCATTCAAAGTTACCACGGACCTCCCAAAAGGTATTTACGACCTGGATCTGGAGTTACGATGGCAGCACCTGTCAAAGCAGGTCCTGTGACTGCATTTGGAGCACTTGGCCGCTGGCTCAACTTTACAACCAGTTGCAATATTCTGTGGTCATGTGATGAAATTTAAAATGTGGTGGGGTTTTTTTGCAGGAAACGTCCCAGAATGAAAAACACCATTGATTTACTTAATGCCCACTAGAAAAACGGTTATAAAATCAGGTTGGTCACCTGTTTGTCTCGACGTAAGACTTTCTGGGCTCCATTACTGTCGTAAGTTGAGAACTACCTGTACGTCAGCGTTGACTGTGACCTGGAAATATCAATATTAACAAGCATAAGGTGGTTTCTATTTTACATCCAAAACTAAATACAGCATTGATAAACAACTGTAAATTACGTCAAAATATTTGTGTACAGTATAGGTTTTTGTCTTAAGCTGAAAATTTAATACTACGATCTCCACTTTTTGTGGCTGATTGTTGTTTGTACATGTGAAAGAGAAAAAAAATGAAAAACAAAGAAAAAGAAAAAAGATTTAAAAAAAAGAAATTAAAAAAGACTATTTGCTTTTTAACCTCTACTAATTGGTTATTTTTATCAACATTTGGGCCCCCTTAGAAATTAATTATTATTTGCACTGCATAATAAGTTGTATGCAGAGGAACCATTCTTCCTTAAATGATTTTTTTATTTTCTTATAACACTTTCCTTCTCCTCGTTCATTTGTTATTTTCTTCTTTTACTTATTTTCTGATTTAGAAAGTTTAAATACTGTTTCCTTTCCAGGGAGAACTTTCCTCTCCTCTCCCTCGTTCCTTCTCAGCAACTTCCTGCTTGAAATGAGATGTCGCTACTGATTAACATTTAAAAAAAAAGGGATTTATTTTAAAATCTGCACTCCAGAATTGGAAGCCAACAGGGATAATTATGAACAGATTAACTTAATCTAGAGCTAGGGCAGACGCTTGTTTTTTTCCATTTGAAAACGTTTTATACTGTGGACATAGCTTCTGATTTTTCTGGAGCTCTGGATCAGGGGGAAAGTCTTCACCGTTCGTTCGTATAAAAGGCAAGTCAGATCAGAGGGGCTCATGCAATCAAACCATCATTGGCTGCCCAGTCCGGTTTGAGTGATCCTGCAGAGAAATCCTTAGTTGTATCATCTGTTTGAACTGAGTGTTGCTGGGCCTCCCCTTCTGATCAGGGAGACTGCGATGTTTTATCTAGCTGGCTTATCAACATTATGTAGAAAGGAGGAGAGGTTAATCTTTTAGCCATCTGATTCAAGCACAGCAACTCTATTCCTTTTCTTCTTTCCTTTCCTTTCCCTTCCCTTTCCTTTCCCTTCTTTTCCTTTCTTCCCTTCCCTTCCCTCCTTTCCTTCCTTCCCCTCTTTTCCTTTCCTTTCCCTTCCTTTCTTCCCTTCCCTTCCTTCCTTTCCTTCACTTCCGTTTCCTTTCTTCCCTTCCCTTCCCTTCTTTTCCTTCCCTTCCTTCCCTTCTTTTCCTTTCCTTTCCTTTCCCTTCCCTTCTTTTCCTTTCTTCCCTTCCTTCCTTTCCCTTTTCCTTTCCTTTCCTTTCCTTTCCTTTCCCTTCCCTTCTTTTCCTTTCTTCCCTTCCCTTCCTTTCTTTCCTTTCTTCCCTTCTTTTCCTTTCTTCCCTTCCCTTCCTTCCTTTCCTTCCTTCCCCTCTTTTCCTTTCCTTTTCTTTCCTTTCCCTTCCTTTCTTCCCTTCCCTTCCTTCCTTTCCTTTCTTCCCTTTTCTTTTCCTTTCCTTTCCCTTCTTTTCCTTTCTTCCCTTCCCTTCCTTTCCTTCCTTCCCCTCTTTTCCTTTCCTTTTCTTTCCTTTCCCTTCCCTTCTTTTCCTTTCTTCCCTTCCCTTCCTTCCTTTCCTTTCTTCCCTTTTCTTTTCCTTTCCTTTCCCTTCTTTTCCTTTCTTCCCTTCCCTTCCTTCCTTTCCTTCCTTCCCCTCTTTTCCTTTCCTTTCCTTTTCTTTCCTTTCCTTTCCCTTCTTTTCCTTTCTTCCCTTCCTTTCCTCCCTTCCCTTTTCCTTCCTTCTTTCCTTTCCCTTCCCTTCTTTTCCTTTCTTCCCTTCCCCTCCCTTCCCTTTCTTCCTTCCCTTCCCTTTCCCTTCCCTTCTTTTCCTTTCCTTTCCTTCCTTTCCCTTTCCTTCCCTTCTTTCCTCTAATTCCCTTTGTCTCTTGTAGCTACCATTCCAAGACAAGTCTAACCATTCCTGCTGTGGCCAACATTTGAAATCCGCGTGAGGCCACAGACAAAAGGTTAGGAAGACAAACAACATCCCGGGAAGCAGTGTTATTTTGCAGAAATCTAATTCTGGTAAATTCCTGGCGGAGAAGGTGTGGATTTTCGTATTTTGTGAGGGACATATCAACAGGGCAGCCAATTCTGAACTTCCTCCTCGTCTCTCTGCCACATCTACAGACAAAACAATCCGTTGGCATCCATCACTGCGGATGTCTGAAGCTTTTGCCAGGAGATTTGAACACCTGCCAGGAACTTGGGTGGAGTCAGAAATGAGGGGGTCATCTGGGGTTACAAATGTTTACAACTGCCAAGCCTGCTCTCCAGATCTTTCAGTGAGCTGACCTACGGAAGGAAGAGTGTTTAATTCATAACCCCCCCATCATCAGAAAGCAAGTGGAAAGCATTAAACAAATATTCCAAGCAGCGGCCTGTCATACATCACCGCGATGCAAAAAAGATGCTGAGACTCTAGAAAGAGTGCAGAGAAGAGCAACAAAGAGGATCAGGGGACTGGAGGCTAAAACATACAAGGAACGGTTGCTGGAATTGGTTATGTCTAGTTTAATGAAGAGAAGGACGAGGGGGGACAAGATAGCAGTCTTCCAGTATCTCAGGGGCTGCCCCAAAGAAGAGGGAGTCAAGCTATTCTCCAAAGCACCTGAAGGCAGGACAAGAAGCAACAGATGGAAACTCATCAAGGAGAGATTCAACCTAGAGCTAAGGAGAAACTTCCTAACAGGGAGGACAATTAACCAGTGGAACAGCTTGCCACCAGAAGTTGTGGATGCTCCAACACTGGAAGTTTTTAAGAAGAGACTGGTCAGCCATTTGTCTGAAATGGTATAGGGTTTCCTGCCTGAGCAGGGGGTTGGACTAGATGACCTTCAAGGTCCCTTCCAACTTTACTATTATTATATTATTATTATTATTATTATTATTATTATTATTATTATTATTATTATTATTATTATTATTATTATTATTATTATTATTATTATTATTATTATTATTAAACATACAAGGAACGGTTGCTGGAATTGGGCATGTCTAGTTTAATGAAGAGAAGGACAAGGGGTGACATGATAGCAGTCTTCCAATATCTCAGGGGTTGCCATAAAGAAGAGGGAGTCAAGCTATTCTCCAAAGCCCCTGAAGGCAGGACAAGAAGCAATGGATGGAAACTAATCAAGGAGAGAAGCAACCTGGAACTAAGGAGAAACTTCCTGACAGTCAGAACAATTAACCAGTGGAACAACCTGCCTCCAGAAGCTGTGAATGCTCCAACACTGGAAGTTTTTAAGAAGAGACTGGACAGCCCTTTGTCTGAAATGGTATAGGGTTTCCTGCCTGAGCAGGGGGTTGGACTAGATGACCTTCAAGGTCCCTTCCAACTTTACTATTATTATTATTATTATTATTATTATTATTAATTATTATTATTATTATTATTATTATTATTATTATTATTATTATTATATTTATATCTAAAATTAAACATGTGGAATAGCTTACGCTGAGAAACCCATCGGTTGAGGTTCACAGTTTAAAAAGGGATGGCTTTGCCAACCTATCTGGATGGTATGGTCCCTGTAGGTCACCTGGATCTGTAGCTGGGATATGGGATTGAAACTATTTTGGTCACCTGAGTGAAGGACCTGCAATCAGGAGACAGTCTTTTTTGTTGGTTTACCTCTAGTTGAGACTGTCAAGGAGCTAGCTCAGGGGTCTTCAAACTTGGCCCTTTGATGACTTGTGGACTTCAACTCCCAGAATTCCTCAGCCAGGCACGCGTGCCTGGCTGAGGAATTCTGGGAGTTGAAGTCCACAAGTCATAAAAGGGCCAAGTTTGAAGACCCCTGAGCAAGGCCATAGCCTTGGAACGGTGTCCCCACATTCATCTTGTTGATAGGATGTTGGTGGGAGTGCATCCCAAACTCTGGAGTGAGATGCTATCAATATGCTAGAACCAATAACGGGCTAGATGGAAGGGAACAAGTCTTAAAAGGGCCAAGTTTGAAGACCCCTGTATTATATTGTACCATCATGATATTCTTCCAAAACCAGTGATTTCATGACAAAATGTAAAGCAGAATATACAACGCAGGATTTACACTTTAATCTGAGGGACATCTGACGGTTTTCCCGAATGCCACTGAATAAAGCCAATTTGTAGTTAATATCAATTTAGCAAAATATGGCCAGGCTTGTGTTATTCCACCTTTGCCTGCTTTTAAGCCCAGCTTCACCAAATCTAAAGCACACAACACATGCATATGATTAAACACATATTCTCCAGGAATATTTAAACAACCATCTACTGCAATCAAGACATATTGGTATGGAAAAAAATCAGGTCCAAATGACAGAGGACTTCCGAAAGCAGACTGCAAAACAACATTTTCCTAGGTTTTTCCAGCTGCAACATACATCTGCAACATTTTGTATTTAAAAAAAAATAAATCAAGGTGTGCTAGCCATTGTGTGATCAACCCCCACCCCTTTTTTTGCGTGTCAGGCACCTGTACTAAGTGGTAAAAGAAGTAACATCTGAATGGAAACTGCAGGGGCCGATTGTGCTCCTGTAACAGTTGGATGCAAATCGAAAAATGGATGTGCTGCCTCGATTTTTAAAACTTAAATTCACTAAGTTGGTAAAATGTTTCTCCTTTTCACACCGAGATGAAACCTTAATATATTAAACAATTAAAAAATACAACA